TTTTTTGGGGGGGAACCCGTTCCCCCTTTTTTCCCCCTAAAAAATTTTTTTTTTCCCTTCCCTTCCCCCCCCCCGGGGTCCGGGGGGTTTAAATCCCCCCAGGGATTTCGCTTTCAAAATTTTTGAGACCCCAAAGGGGGTGTGGCCCACCCCCCCCTTGCGAAATTTGGGTTTCCCTTTTAAAAAGTTTGCCCTTCCTGCCAAGGTACTTTTTCCCCCCCCTTTCCCGGGCCCCCCCATCCCCGGGGGCCTCCCCAAAACAGCAATCCCCAAAAAATTTTTCGGGGTTTAAGGCCCCCCCCAACCCATTTCCTTTAGGCTTTTTTTTTTCCTCTTTTTTGGGTTTTTCCCCCCCCACTTTTTTTTTTGGGCCTTTTAAGCTCCCTCCCCCCTTTTTTTTCCCCCCCCCCCCCCCCCCCCCCCCCTCCATCTATATTTTCCACAGGGCCCCGTCACGGACGGCAACAAGGCCGAGTACGTGTCGGCCAAGGCCCGCCTCATCCTCGTCGGGTCGAGAAGGCCTGCCCTAGAGGCGCTCAAGGCTGGATTCGCCGAGGCTCTCCGAGACCTTTCCCCGGGGGCAGCGCTCTTCGTCGAGTTGCTGTCGCACGCTGATTGGAGGGTCTTGCTGTGCGGGGAGGAGCACGTCAGCGGACCGCAGGTATTTTTGTTGGGGGGTTGGGGGTGTTCGGGAATAGGAGAGTAACTTGGGCAGGATGGATAGATAGATTTTATAGCACAAATCATCTGTTGATTTGCCTCAGGTTGTTGGCTGGCCTTTGACCACGCATGCATCGATATAGTTCCGAGATGATTCACCATAGGTTCCTACTTCAGTTGAAAAGTCACACCACATGCATCCCGACAAGGCGGGGGGGAGCGGTCCATGCAGGCGCCCCTTGATTTCGTCGAAATTGCAGCCTCTTCTTTTCTTCCTCTGCTGTATTGTGTTCGTCTGCTGTCTGTTGACAACCCATCCAATCCAAATGTAACCCCCGCCCCCCTGGAGGGGTAGACAACCCACGGAATGGGTCAAGGTTGTAGAGGACGTATGGAAGGGGTTAGACATCAACGAAGATGAAACGCTGGAAACGGAGGGTCTACAGGGGTTAAAGGAGAAGATATCTGTTGCTTGTGCCGAGAGAGGAGAACATAATCTAAGGAAAGAAACCAAGGATAAGGAGGGTCTAGAAGTGTACGGAATGTTGAAAAAAGGAATAGGGTTCAAGGATTACCTACATGGACCAATGGATGCAGGGACAAAGCTGAAGGTCAAATTCAGGACCGGGGACATAGGCCTTCGAGTACGTCGACGAAGACATAGGACGGTAGACGACGAAGACGACAAGTTCAAATGTGATCGCGGCTTCGAATGCGAAGACCATGTTCATGTAGTCGCGGAATGTCCGTGGTACGAAGAGGAGAGGGAAGTGTACATGACTGAACTGGGAAAAATACAAGGGACGCACAGGGAGATGTTTGAGGCATGGAATAGAGAGGAGAGGACGGTAGCTGTA